AGCTTACTATCTCAATAGACAAGGCACGGGGCAAAGCATATATCATACAAGCAGGTCAGTTAGAGTGATGGTTGGCAAATATCCAGTTACATTTTGTTGTTTTTGTATTTTTTTAAAATATGCTTTGCAGTGAGGAAAAGGCAGGAAGGAAAGAGAGGATAGGGAAGGAATGGAGGCAGCGAAAGGGAGAGTGGAGGGGTAGCTGAGGGGGGGCCCAATAGCCAGCAAGTGCAGCTACCTACAGAGGACCCATAAGGAAAAGGGGTGGGAGGGAGTTGAAGTAAGATGACCTCTGCTGATTTGGCTAAATTGAAGAAATTAGTTTGATGACATCACTAGCGTCCAAAGGTTGTTGCTTCCAGCCGGAAAAGTCACCCACATATTAGCTCCATTCCCAGGAGCTCCTGCTCTTCCTCCCACATGGCTGGGGGAGCAGAGATGCCTGCTTGGTTCTTACACTGTGCCCTGAAGGCTGTCAAACTTTGGTGGACAGCCAGATGGAACGACTTGTGCAGGCTAAGGCTGTCCACTAAAAATACTGTGATCCTAGAGCATTCTACCGTAAAGTCTTTGACACCAGGAGGGGATAGGCAGCTTTTCACATAGCCAGGTCCCAGGCCACCAGTGCCTAAGTGGGCAGCATTTTGCACTAACATAAGCTTCTAGTCTTCAGAGGCAGCTACAGTAGACTATGTTGGTGTAATCCAACCCAAAAGTGATGGGCCTATAAAAGGGAGGGAAGGCTTGAAACAAGTTGTTAATAGGAAAGGCAACTAATATCACTGGTGTGTTTCTGAGCAAAGGTCAAATTACTGCTTCTTTTAACATGATCAGAATATTACTGTGCCAAAAACAGAGGCAGTAATATTCACAAGTAATTATGGTCCCAAAACTTCGACTGGCTTTCACTGGTCACACAAAAGCTGCTTTTTGCAGATAGTTGACCACAACTCTTTCAGTATATCCACTTCCAAACACTTAACTCTACTTCTTCAAGAATATTGCCTCTGCATATTTACACTCATATGACATGCAGGCTGGTAATTCTATCATGGTAATAGAAATAATAGCACCTAGGAGCCCCAATCACAGACCAGGACCCCACTGTGCTAGACACTGTACAAACGGGGGGGGGGGGGAAGAACCCGACACACAGACCCTTCCCCAGAGAGCTTACATTCTAGTAAACAGTCCAGAAGCACATTTATAAGAGAGCTGTAAGGCTACAACCAATTTTGTTCTTTCCAGAGGAGTAGAATTCAGAGAAGAAAAGGAAAGTGGGCAGGTTGTATAAATATGCGGAGGTAACACACAAACTGTTACCGGTGAGTAACATTTCCTCTTTGAGAGCTGCCTCTATGTATTTCTACTCGTATGTGCACTTAACTTGTACTGTAGAACCCACAGAAAGATAGATCAGCTGAGTTTAATTACACAAGGAATGCAAAGCTGCACTCCCAAAACAGAGTATGCAATCTAGATTCCAAGCTGTACAAGTACAGCTGTGTATGTATGTGTAGAATTTCAGGTAGCCATCCTACAGATTTATAAAACAGAATCATTATAGAAGTATGTCACTGATGTGCAATAGAGTAAGCCTCAAGACCCTAAGGTACTGTCATCCTGGCTAATCAGGTCTCAGTACACAAAACTAGTCCTCTGACAGATGATGTGTGGATATGCAAATCAAAGACTCTTGACATCTAGGGTATGCAATCTAATTTCTTGTGAATAGGAATAAGGTCTGAAGAATACCAGGATATGAGTGGTCTAATTCAGATGGAAGCCTGGACCCAACTTTTGCTATATATTTGGGATGAATATGTAGGACACATTTTGTCTCTATGGAATACAATGAAGGTTGGGGGATCAACTATTAAAGCCTGCAATTCAATAACTCTTCTTGTAGATGTGATTACGGTTACAAAGGCTGTCTTTGGTGACTGGTAAGGACTCAAAGGGCAAGTCATTAGTTTTGTCACCCCCAGGTTTAGATCCCATGTTCAGTGAGTTCACTGTTTGGTGGGGATACATTTACCAAACCTCTAGGGAATCTGATGAGACACAGTGAGATGACTGAAGACAGTGGAACTGTCAACTGAAGCACAGTATGCTGAAGATGGCCCATAGTCCTTCAACCTCTTCTTGCCTTCAATTAAGTTCAGCAAGTAATCCAAGATAGGTTCTTTTCCACTATCCATATGCAAAACCTCTTCCACTTCTGAGAAAGATCTTCAACACAGAAGCCCAGTCCAATAGAAATGATCCATGATTACGTTTCTGTCCCTGTGCTGGAACAAAACCACCAGCACTTTTCATTGCTGACCATTGATGGACAGCTCCACTTCTTGATCAGTATGTTAATTATGGTCCATTTTGAAGACTACTCATGATAGTATTGTAGTCTGATTTAAAATTGAAAAAGAAAATGTGTTAGAGATAATCAAAGAAAGATACATAGGCGAGCCGGATACCATTCTCATGGGACCGTGGCTTCTCAGAAGAGTAGCTGGGGGAAAACACCTCACTGATACAGAATACTGCTACTGTGTTGTCAGCATTGAGGGACTACACAAACCTTGATCAATGGCAGAAAAGACTTTAGGTCACGTCCCCTGGCATGAAGTTCCTGCACATTTATTTACATGGAGCTTGGCTTCTCACATATTCTAGACTATCAGATTCTGGTAATGGACCTCCAGCCCAAATTAGATTAATCTGCAATGACTACTATGGATAGAGATGGAGAATCAAAGGGGATTCCCTTTAGTATATTGGTGGAGGGAAGTGACTTTCAGAGTAGTATTCACAAGTGCTCCCATGAAAGTGTAGGAAAAGCATAAAACACTTTGAATTTGATCATAAAAATCAAGGCTTTTGACTGGATTATTTCTTTTCATATTTAAACAAAAAACTCCATATTTAAAAGTTATCCAAAACTGCTGCAGGATTTGCACCACAGTGTCACAGATCATAGGGAACTAGCTGCAGAATTTAGATCTTGCTTGCCAGAGTATACAGGACCTTGCCTGTGTGAAAATATAGAGGCAATAATATTTCATTCATAAATGAACACCAAGAGTCACTCATTTCATCACAGAACAGCACAGGAAGTAGACATAAGCTCTAACTTGCAGCTGTTTAGAAGTTTTTGGACAGAACTACGTCAAAATGTTTTCATTCTGACCCATTTTTCAGTCCTCTCCTACCCTCCCCACTCAGGCCAACCACCTGACCACAAGGCAAACAAAGTATTTTGATGGGAATAATTTACCTTTTAAAAAACAGGAAGGGAGGAAATTTGGGAACCAGGTGGAAAGAGCATCGGGGAGGGAGAGATAATTAAAGCGGGCCTATTACATAAGGGCATCTGCAACTGAGTCCTTGCACCCTACAGTGGCAGCCTGAACAGTATGAGGGACAGGAAACCATGGGGGGGGAGGGGGGAGAGAAGATCAGGGTTTTTCCATCATTAATATAGGAGATTTATGTGACAGAATAGAGAAGATGCCATGTCTAGCCTTCAGCAGTGTCAGATTCTGAACAACCTTCCTCTCCCCCTTGCCACGCACAGAAAGGGTATTTCAGATACTCATCCCAGCAATGAAGTGCAAAAATGGAACTAACAATGCCAGTGCAGGGTGCTCCCTACCTCTGGAAAATCTCTTGCAGTGTTTCCCGGGTGAAGGCGTTGCTGTCCTGGAAGACATTATTGAGGGCATGGAGAGCACACAGCTCCCTACGCTGTTTCTCATGGTAAATACGTAGTGGTGCCAGCTGTGGTGGCTCAGGAGACTCAGATTTGGTTTTGTCACCTTTCCATGGCACGCAACTCATTTTTTCTTAGGGTAGTTGTGGGGAAGATGGTGAGAAACAGAGGAGTCTGAAGTTTCTCCCCTGCTCCACAATCAAAACAAGAGCCCACTGATCCCTTCTTTTATCAGCAAATCCTGCTTCCAGCTGGCAAGCCCTTTTCTTGTGCTTCAGTTTGTTTAGTAATTGCTTGCTTGCAAAAATCACGTAGGGATCTGTAACATTTTTTCCCGCCCTCCCTCCTCCCCCACCCCATAAAAAGTTGCTGTTGGGGTATTTCCTTCCCTCTGTCTCCTCTCCAAAAATATCAAAATAAGATTTAAATCCGCTTAGCATCAGGATACCAGCTGGAATTTATCACATCGCTCCTTTTCTTCCATCTCCTTTGGTCCTTAGCGCCGCTAAAAAGGATCCAGAGCAGGCTGGGAAAAAATGCCCACCCCCACGAAGCCAAACCAGGTAAGATGAAGCCAGTCTCAGAGGCCCTTGGCAGGAGCCTTGGGGGCCTCTCAGCTGCCTTTCTCCATCCCTTTGGGAGTGGCTGTGTCCTGAAAAGCAGATGCCAAGGGCTGGGGAGGGAAGCGGCCTCTCGCAAGGCGTGAGCTCCTCGCCAAGTCCTGCCACGCTCCTGAGCAAGGAAGAAAAGCCTCGATTAGCCCGGCAGGAAAAGCAGTGGCACAAAGCGCATCGGGCCCGGGCAGGTTCCCGCGGGGCTCCGGGCAGGGCGGGGAGCCCGCTCGAGGCGTTTCTACCCCGACCCCCCTCGGAAAGCAGCGCGAGCGGGCAGCCCCCACCCTCAGGTGCCAGGGCGCCCCCCACCAGCGCGGCCCTGAGGCACCGTGTGGCCGGGGAGCGCTCGCCCCGCGCGGGGGGCGGCGGCAGCAGCGGGGCAGGGCCGGGGGGGTTCCCCGCATGAGGGGGAAGCCCGAGGAGAGCCCGGGGCCGGGGCGGCTCCCCAAGGCGGGCCGGGGCCGGGGCCGGTCCCGCCCGGCGGGGACATGCAGCGGCCGCGGTGTCCCTCTCCCGGGGAGCCCCCTACTCACCGCTGGCCAGCCCCGACCTCCTTGGCTCAACAGCCACCCCCGGGTGTCCCCGCGCACGCGCGCGGCCGACCCGCCCCACGTACGGCGCGTGCTCTGTCCCCGCCTCGCACACGCTTACGTAGCCTGAACGCTCCGGGCGCAGTTCCACGCGAGTGATGACGTCACTGCAATCTGTTCGCCCCCCTGTGCCGAGTGCGGGCCTGACTCCCCGCGGCCAGGGAGCACGCGCCTGCAGCCTGGCCGTGGGTTAGTCACGTCACCCACGGCATCAGCCGGTGTTGCTTGGTGCCCTGCTAGAGAAGCGACCCTGCAGGCCACCGTGTATGGACCGTACAGACCGCCGTGGATTACGCACCCCTTGTATTGGCCTGTGCTGCCGGCTCAGTGCCTTGCCCTGCACAGAGTTTGAGCTGCAGCCCGGGCAGGAGTCAGACCCTCAGCACCGCCATTTAACAGCTCCTGTAGCCGGGGCCCGATTAACTTTTTGTGGGCCTGGCTCCAAACATATTTGTGGGCCCCCCTGGGAATGATTGTAAAAGGGGCCGGGGGCAAAAGCACATTGGGGCGGGAGCTAGTGTTGGTCCCTGGAGCAAGGGAGCGGCCAGGGGTAAACTGCAAGCGCAGCAGGGCTGGGGAGGGGGTAAACAGAATCCCCCCCGCCCCGCCCCGCCCACATAGAGCTGGTACCTACCTTCTCCCTGGTTCTAGCCCATTCTCTTAATCTCTCTCTGCACTGAGCTGCCCTTCCTCCAGTGTGACAAAGTGGGAATGTTCTTAAATGTTTTCTCTGAATACTGTGTGGGTGCCTCAGTTTTCCCTATGCATTCTTAAGTATCTAGGTAGTGAGGTAAGTGTGTGTGATTGTTGCAGAGCCCTAGGCTGTCTGCACAGAGAATAGTTGACACCCTGTCTCCTGGCAACTGATGGCCTGGGCCCCACCCCTGCAAAGGGGCAACTGAAGGTGTTGGAGAACAAACTGATCCGGTGGCCTCCTGGACCCGGGGAAGAGACAAAGGACAGAGGAGGAGTTGGAGGGGATTGCAGTTTGGAGCTGGCTGTAGCCGTGCATGGTGTTTTGGGTTTACACCCTATGCATGGGTCAGAGACTCCCTTGCTCTAGCTCCCACAGTCTGCACACTGTTGTGGGATAGCATCCATTGGAGGCCCAAAGCAGGAATATTTTGTGAGGGCCCCCATACACAATGCCATAATAAAAAGTGAATGGGGGGCTCCCTTTTGCTGCTTGGGGCCTCAGCAATTGCTTAGTCTACTTATGCCTAATGCCAGCTCTGGATTGCATAGCTATTGCAGCTTTCTAACTCTGACCCTTTTTGTTTCTTCCTTTTGCACACTCCTCCCTTCTTCATATGTGATGTAACTAACACCCAATAACAGTAATACTTTCTACTGTGGTAATGAACCCTGAAGAAGAGTGTGAGTAATTTGTTGTTGCTGGGCTGCAGTTTTCTTTATTTATGAATTAAACCAGTGTCTGGAATGTTGAGAGCATAATGCTGGCAGGGAGTTGATATCTGGATGACATGCTTAACCCTTTGGATACCTCTGGATTTACCATGGGAACATTTTAAGATGACAAATACACAGTCTGCATATATGGCTCAGCCCTAACCTGGAGTTACTTCTGTGGGGTGTGACAGAAGTTCGGTTTCCATAGGGTTATACAAGATCAGATCCCGTGATTCATCTAGTTCGATATCCTGTTAATGACATTACAATCTGGGAGCATTATAATTCTGTTGGCAAGTTAATGATAGAAGGTTAAGGGTGGTGTCGTTTGATTTGTCAAAAATCTACAGAATCATTATTTCAATGGTGTCACCCTCTGCGGCATAGCAAAGGGGACTCAATCCCTGCCTCCACCACACATTCCCAGCTCCAGGCCCTCTGGGTAGAGAAAATGTTGATATAATGTGGTTGGAAGTAGGTTGAGTTGGGTATCATTTGAAACCCCTTTCTCCCGTGAACGCAATGGTACCAAATGTCACAAACCCAGAACAATTATGTAGATATATATTTGAGAAAAAGTTTATAAAACAGTGTTTTTTAATTATACTTTAACACAAGTATGTCATACATGCAGCCCTCACATAATTAAACTATGACCATCAACTGACAGTACTGTGTTATTAGTTAATTCTCCCAATATGATAGCTGATTATTTTTTTTAATGTTACAGATTACTATGCATGGAAGGAGCGCTTCAACTTGATTTGCCGTCATCAGCAAAAAAGAAGAGGTTCTGTGGTATTGATTATCAGCTCTGTTTGTTACACCAAAAGAGTTGTAATGAGGCACTGGTTATGATGTCCGCATGCAGCCAGAAGTTACTGAAATCCATCCACAAATGGTATGCACAAAGTTACATAACGTATATTACATAACATAATAAAAGGAGTACTTGTGACACCTTAGAGACTAACAAATTTATTTGAGCATAAGCTTTCGTGAGCTACAGCTCACTTCATCAGATGCAACATAATGATAATCCCAAAGTAATTTATTACAAAATCTGTGTTTTTACTTTGGTCTTGATCATTTTTAGGCATCAATGGAGAGACAAAGAGTACTGACTAGTAAATGAATCTTTGGAGAATACTAGTGTGGAGGACCTGGTTAAACACAATGCATGGGGCTGTAATTAGTGCATCCAAACACTGAATTGACAAGGTTGGAGAAGAAGTACATTGAGCACCAGAAAAAGTTGAAGATGCTGGGACAAGTGCCAGCTGTGGGTGAGTCTTTGCAGCTCTTTAGTCAGTCTGTTAGGATTGCTAATTGGAATTTGCACCTCGCAGTGCTAGAAGACTTAGCCCTGGTCTACACTATGGGGTTAAGTCAAATGTAGCTACGTTAGGTCGATTTAAAAATGACTGCGTCCAAACAACCAACCCTGTTCCGTTGACCTAAAGGGGTCTTAAAATCGACTTCTGTACTCCTCCCCGACGAGGCTCCTAGAGCTGGGCAGGGAAGACGTTCCCAGAACCCCCGACCAAGCTACATGTCCGATGAGGACAGCTAGCAGTCCTACTGCACCGTCTGCTTCAAAGGCACCCAGGAGCTGCTGCTGTGTAGCAATGCCAGCTGCTGCAAGTGCTTCTGTGTCGAAAGCTTGGAGGTCCTGGTAGGGCAAGGTACCTCGGCCACGGCAAAAGAGCAAGAGCCCTGGAGCTGTTACATGTGTCAACCACAGAAGTGCTATGGGGTGTTACAGCGCCAACCAGACTGGAATGGATGGCTGCAAGACTTCTTCACCAGCGGCAAAGGACAGGAATATGATGCACCTAAAATCTAAAAAGGCCTGCACATTTCCTAGAGTCACTACCCTTGATAAAAGAACGTTAATGATTGCGTTGGCTACTTGGATCACAGCAGCCCCCACAATAGACTTGCCCACAACAGCAACGGTGACAGTGAGCTGAGAGGGCTTTATACTTGCTGTGGAATGGCGTTTTCACAGGTAACCCAGGAAAAAAGGCGCGAAACAATTATCTGCCATTGCTTTCACGGAGAGAGGGGCGGCTGATGACATGTACCCAAAACCACCCGCGACAATGTTTTTGCCCCATCGGGCATTGGGAGCTTAACCCAGAATGGGCGGCGGAGACTGCGGGGACTGAGGGATAGCTACCCACAGTGCACCGCTCCATAAGTCGATGCTAGCCACAGTAGTGAGGACGCACTCCGCCGACTTAATGCGCTTAGTGTGGACATACGCAATCGACTGTATAAAATTGAATTCTAAAAATCAACTTCTTTAAAATTGATCTAATTTCGTAATTTAGACATACCCTTAGTGAAATACTTTCTTGCTTCAGATTTACCCAACTGTTCTGCACTGATTGCCTGGTACCTTGCTGAAATAAGAGGTGTAGAAAAGTCTGGCCCTGACATATGGAGGAATTTCAAAAAGGAAATTAGGTTGTTAAAAGGTCACTAGTTCCCTTCTGTGCTGTTGGAATTATCAGTAATATTAGAAATTATTAATATGGGAGAGTACCAGACACCAGTTTGACCATAAATTTGGCCCAACGGTGTTATATACAATTGCTGTAAACATGCCTGCTAATTTAAAAATAAGCATGTACTACACCCAGTACAGTAACAAATTTACTCCTGGGGAAATTCTGCTCCACTGCACACATGCAGAATTCATGTCCCCTGCAGATTTTTTTCCCCTGCAGAAAATACATTCTGCCAGGGAGGTGTTGCAGTTACACCTTTCACCCACCAGGAGCTGCTGTGGTGCCAGAAGAGAGGACAGCCAGCTCAGGGTTGGAGCAGCCAGCCATAGAGAGGGAGGGGGCAGTGTCTGCCTTCTTCAGAACGCCTTGCCCGTGGCGCCAGGTGAGGAAGCACAGAATATGGTGGGGATGGACAGAATGGGGCACATGGGGCTGCTGGAGGGTCATATAGTCTGGGGTTCAGAAAGGCTAGTGAGAGGGACAGATTGGGGTGGGGGCACAGGAGCTAGTGAGGTGACAGCCGGGGCTGAATGGGAGTGGGGGTGCAGGGACACAGGCAAACCAGGCGGTGCAAGGACACATGGGGAGAGAAGGGAGGAAAGTGTCTGAGTGGGGATGCAGGGGGGTGGGAGTGGCTGAGTGGGAATGCAGGGACACATGGGGACAGGGGGAGGGGAGGTGCAGGGATGCATGGGGACAGGGGAAGAGGGGTGGCTGAGTGGGGGTGCAGGGACATGTCGGGACGGGGGGCAGATGTGTCTGATTGATCAGAGAGGCTAGGGGTCAGCAAGGGTCTGTGTGCGGGAGGCTCCCTAACTCCCTAACAATCCCCCCAAAAAACTTGTTCCATATTTCTCCCACCCACACCCAACAACCCTACAGATTCACTCCCAGGCTCCTTCCCAGCAATTACTTCCCTCTCCCTTACTCCTTTGTTACCCCTGACTTCCCCAAGCCTTTGCACTGCTTCTTGAGGGGTACAGGAAAAACGGTTCTGTATTGTAGTTTAAATGCATTATTGTTCAAAGTTCTGTATTAATATGCCTAGTAAGGAATCTCTTTGTCAAGAAACATTTCCTGAATCTTTTTTGTTGTCTGTATTGTTACAGCCATACTTGCTGACAGGTATTTTGAAATAAATTACCAAAATAATTAAAACTGGCTTGATTATATTGTGTTATTTTGACAAACAAAATATGCAGAATTTTAAAATATTGTGTGCAGAATTTTTAATTGTTGGTGCAGAATTCCCCCAGGAGTAAACAAAGTATTCATAAGCAGCTGATCGGTATACTTACAAGTAGGCCAGACCTACAGGGAACCATCTCATCCTGGCATGTTCCAGCATGATCAGGTAGAGTCTGACAAAGAAACCTCAAAATCACAACTCTTTTATATAGGGTGACCAGATAGAATGTGTAAAAAATCAGGACAGGGCGTGAAGGGTAATAGGCACCTATATAAGAAAACGTCCCAAATATCGGGACTGACCCTATAAAATCGGGACATCTGGTCATCCTACTTTTATACCCTTTAACTAACAAATGATGTCAGAGCTAATTACCACTTTAGTTAACAAATCAATTCAAGACAGTTCCCCCCTCTATTTCCAAGTTTAATTTAGATAAGTTTTACAATCGCTTTTCTCCTCAAGGTCTTTTCTCCTTATCTCTTCCCCTCCTGCCCAACAGCTTTTCTGTCATACCTCGGTTCCCATAGGTTTTACTTTTAAGATAACACTGATGTGTGTGGTGAGAATGTCCATGTTGGTTCCTTTCACAGGCGCCAGCTTCCTCCTGGCCCCGGGGGTGCTTAACCCCCCAGCTTTGCCCCAAGCCACGACCCCATCTGACCCCAAGCCGCCACCCCCGCCTCACCTCTTCCCACCCCTGCTCCACTCCAGGCCATACTCCCACCCTACCCCTTCTCCCAAACCTCCACCTCTTCCCACCCAGTTCTGCCTCCTCCCCCGAGTGCGCCCCATCCCCACTCCTCCCCCCCCAGCACCTCCTGCATACAGCGGAACAGCTGATTGCTGTGGGGAGGAGACGGTGGGAGGGACGGGGGAGGAGTTATTTTGCCGGGCCGCCAGCAGAGAGGCGGTGCTGGCGGGGGGGCAGGGATAGGAGTTGGCTGCCGGTGGGTGCTAAGCTCCCACTAATTTTTTTTCCGTGGGTTGCTCCAGGGCAGGATATAGAGCCTTTCACCCCAAGGTCACTCATTCCATTACAATCCCAAATGAGACATGATTTCAAAATGTTACCATACAATGGCTGCTCAGTATCCTAATATGCAGTGTTACGGATTTCAGTCCAATTACTAGTGAAACAGAACTGAAAACCAATACCATATTTAGCAATAATGTATTCTCCATGTTGGCAGTCTCAGCTCAGTCTCAGACTAAATGAGCTACTGAAAATAAATCTCTTTTTACATAATCATAAAATCATAGGACTGGAAGGGACCTTGAGAGGTCATCTACTCTAGTCCCCTGCACTCATGGTATTATCTAGACCAGGGGTGGGCAAACTTTTTGGCCCAAGGGCCACATCGGGGTTTCAAAACGGTATGGAGGGTCGGGTAGGGAAGGCTGTGCCTCCCCAAACAGCCTGGCCCTTGCCCCGTATCCATCCCTTCCCACTTCCCGCCCCCTAACTCCCCCCTCAGAACCCCTGACCCATTCAACCCCCCCCCGTTCCTTGTCCCCTGACCGCCCCCTCCCGGGACCCCACCCCCTATCCAACCCCCCCTGCACCCTGTCTCCTGACACCCCCCCCAGAACCTGCACCCCATCCAACCACTCCCTGTCCCCTGACTGCCCCCCAGGACTTCCTGCCCCTTATCCAACCCCCTCTCCCCACGCTACCCGCCCCCTTGCCATGCCGCTCAGAGCAGCAAGACAGGCTTATTGGAAAGCCTGGGAGGTGGGTGGGTGCAAGCCACGCTGACCAGCAGGAGCAGTGGGCCAGAGCGCTGCCCACACAGCGGCATGGCTGCGGGAGAGGGGGGACAGCAGGGGAGGGGCTGGGGGCTAGCATCTCCGGCCAGGAGTTCAAGGACCGGGCAGGACGGTCCCGCAAGCCAGATTTACGGGGGGGAGGGATAGCTCAGTGGTTTGAGCACTGGCCTGCTAAACCCAGGCTTGTTCAATCCTTGTAGGGTTCAATCCTTGTAGGGGACCGTTTAGGGATCTGGGGCAAAAATTGGGGATTGGTCCTGCTTTGAGCAGGGGTTGGATTAGATGACCTCCTGAGGTCCTTTCCAACCCTGATATTCTATGATTCTATGTGGCCCGCGGGCCGTAGTTTACCCACCTCTGATCTAGACCATCCCTGCCATGTGTTTGTCTAACCTGCTCTTAAAAATCTCCAGTGATGGAGATTTCACAACCGTCCTAGGCAATTTATTCCAGTGCTTAACTATTGTGACAGTTAGGAAGTTTTTCCTAATGTCCAACCTAAACCACCCTTGCTTCAATTTAAGCCCATTGCTTCTTGTCCTATCGTCAGAGGTTAATGAGAACAATTTACCTTCCTTCTCCTTGTAACAATCTTTATGTACTGCAGAACTGTTATCAGGTCCCCTCTCGATCTTCTCTTTTCTAAACAAAACAAACCCATTTTTTTCAATCTTCCCTCATAGGTCATGTTTTGTAGACCTTTAATCATTTTTGTTGCTCTCCTCTGGACTTTCTCCAGTTTGTCCACATCTAACCTGAAATGTGGTGCCCAGAACTGGACACAATACTCTCGCTGAGGCCTAATTAGCGCAGAGTAGAGTGGAAGAATTACTTCTTGTGTCTTGCTTACAACACTCCTGCTAATACACCCCAGAATGATGTTTGCTTTTTTTTTTTGCAACAGTGTTACACTGTTGACTCATATTTAGCTTGTGATCCACTATGACCTCCAGATCCTCTTCCGCAGTACTCCTTCTTAGTCACTCATTTCCCATTTTGTATGTGTGCAACTGATTGTTCCTTCCTAAGTGGAGTACTTTGCATTTGTCCTTATTGAATTTCATCCTCTTTACTTCTGACCATTTCTCCAGTTTGTCCAGATCATTTTTGATTTTAATCCTATCCTCAAAGCATTCCCAGCTTGGTATGGTTTGCAAACTTTATAAGTGTACTCTCTATGCCATTATCTAAATCGTTGATGAAGATATTGAACAAAACTGATCTAAACAGAACTGATCCCTGCAGGACCCCACTTGATATGTCCTTCCAGCTTGACTGTGAACCACTGATAACTATTCTCTTGGAATGGTTTTCCAACCAGTTATTCACCCACCTTTTGTAGCTCTATCTAGGTAGTATCTCCCTAGTTTGTTTTTGAGTAAGTCTTGTCAGACGGTATCAGAAGCCTTACTAAAGTCAAGATATACCACATCCACTGCTTCCCCCCATCCACAAGGCTTGTTACCCTCTCAAAGAAAGCTATTAGATTGGTTTGACAAGATTTGTTCTTGACAAATACATGCTGACTGTTATTTATCATCTTATTATCTTCAAGGTCTTTGCAAATTGATTGCTTAATAATTTGCTCCATTATCTTTCCAGGTACAGAAGTTAAGCTGACTGGTCTTTAATTCCCGCAGTTGTCCTTATTTCCCTTTTTATAGATTGGCACTATATTTTCCCTTTTCTAGTCCTCTGGAAATCTCTCCCGTCTTCCATGACTCTTCGAAGATAAATGGTAATGGCTCAGATATCTCCTCAGTCAGTTCCTTGAGTATTCTAGATGTATTTAATCAGGCCCTGGTGACCTGAAGACATCTAACTTGTCTAAGTAATTTTTAACTTATTCTTTCCCTATTTTAGCCTCTGATACTACCTCATTTTCACTGGCATTCACTATGTTAGATGTCCAATCACTACAAACCTTTTTGGTGAAAACTGAAACAAAAAAGTCATTTAGCACTTCTGCTATTTCCACATTTTCTGTTGGTCTTGGTCCTTGGTCTTCCTCTTACTTCTAACATATTTGTAGAATGTTTTCTTGAAGTCGGGAGGATGTCTGGTTCAAAGAATGAAATAAGGGAAAGTTTCTAAAAGGAGGGCCTCAGACTGACTGCAGATGGTATTCTATTAACAAAAAGAATCTGCCTTAAAAGGAACCATAGACGCTGACTCCGTGAGTGTTCCAGCCCTGGATCACCCATGGAAAAAAATTAGTGAGTGCTTAGACCCTTGTTCTCAATCCCAGGAGTAATCATCTAGACTACATAGAGTTTCCAGTTGTCTAATTGCACAAAATCAAACATCCTTGTCCTGCCGCTTCCCTGAGGCCCTGCACCTCCCCACCCCTTCTCACTCTATCCCCCTTCCCTCAGTGGCTCGGTTTCCCCCACCCTCACTTACTTTCACCGGGCTGGGGCAGGGGTTTGGGGTGCGGGCTCTGGGCTGGGGGGTGGGGCTGGGGGTTCAGAATGTGGGAGGGGGGTTTCAGGCTGAGCCTGGGGCAGGAGGTTGGTATGCAGGAGGGGGTGCAGGCTTTGGGAGGGGGCTCAGGCTGGGGCAGGGGTACAGGAAGGGGTGAGGGGTGTGGGTTCTGGGAGGGGGATCAAGGCAGGGGTTGGGGTGCTGGAGG